TAGTACCCGTAACACAAGCTTTAGCTAGCTTAACTTGGGACTATATCTGTATTTAAGGACTATTCTAAAAAATTTAAGATTCTTTGTAGGTACTAAAAATGCACGTGGTGTTGAGTGGGGGAGGGGCGGGGGTAGTTTTAAACCTCAACACGCTTCACCAAGGGGGAGGGGGGTTAAAAATGCTTCAAAAAAGATCACGTGGTTAATGGAGGCCCCTATGATATGTCAAATCTACCGTCAGTTCGGAATGATTTCGAGATGAGAAGAACTGACAAGAAACTCAGCTCGTACTCTTTTCAAATAAATATTATACATGTTTACAATACAGATTTACCTTATTATTACAGACAGAATCAATCGACGTTGTAATCACTTCGTTCAGTACACACGATTGCTCTTCAAGAGTACGTCATAAGACTATATTGTATTGAAGTGAATATTGAGATGATATTCATCGGGTTCTTGATAACTAAATATATGTAAATATATAAATACATATTAGTAACAAATAGATTAATAATAATAAATACATATAGTAAATAATAATAATAATAAAAATACTTGAATAATTATAAATTAACAAATAGTGGTAAATATATATTTCTAAGTTACTAACACCATAAATTTGTAATAAGCAAGAAATAAAAAGGCTTTTTTAATTTTTTAATTTTTAATTTAATTTAATTTTAATTCATCGGCAAATCTGCCGAGTTGTTTGTCATGTGTTTATTTTATATTGTGGAACTAGCTGTTCCCGCGACCTCGTCCGCGTGGAATTTAACTTTAATTTTCTAAAATAAAAGCAGCCTAAGTTACTCCTTATTACATCAGCTACCTGCCAAAAAAAGTCCCCTTATAATCGGTCACGTCATTTCTGAGATTAGCCGGAACAAACAGACAGACAGACAAAAATTATAAAAAATGTTATTTTCTTTGTATGTACCGTATTTATATTCATATGCGTGTAGTAAAAAACGGTTATTTCAATATTACAAACAGACACTCCATTTTAATTATATGTATAGATGAATAAAATGTGTAGATTAAACATAACTCTTTGATCTGGTTATGATAGTCAGTATTCTTAAAGACCTCTTTTAAAACCCCGCAGTACTGCAGGGGGTGATTTCCCAAAATTTCATTTTATATAGATAAAGTAACCAGTACTACCAACTTTAAAGTTATAATAAATAAAAATTCAGATCATTGACTATTTATTTATACATAATATATTTTTTTTCTCTCAAGGGGGGAATATCCCAACCATCAGACCAATTCAATATTCAGTAGCAGCAGCAGTAGCAGTGCTTAGTAGACTAAGCACTGCTGTGTCTAAACTGTGTCCCATAACTAGCTTTTCCCGCGAATTCGTCCGCGTGGAATTTAACTTTATTTTTCTTTTTGTTCCGGCTAATCTCTAAAATGGCTGGACTGATTTTGACGGGCTTTTTTTGGTAGGTAGCTGATGTAATAAGGAGTAACTTAGGTTACTTTTATTTTAGGAAATTAAATTTATATTCCATGTAGACCAAGTCGCTGGTACCGCTATCTGTAATAAACTGCTTGTTTGCAGAACTAAATTAATTATTTTGGTTATATTTTTCACTGGCTGTACCCAGCTAAGTACAACTGAGTGTATACCAACTGAGTATAACTATAAAAAAAAATTACAATTAATATAATAAACTAATAATTAATCGTATACATAACTTTCTTAATAATATCAATAGTCTAGTTCATTACTGCTCCTCTTATGAAGAGAAATCTCATTTCGTTACAGAGGATTATGTACAAAACTAGCTTTTGCCCGCGGCTTCGCTCGTGTTAATTTATCCCCTTAGAGGTGGAATTTATCATAATACTTTCTTAGGGAATGCCTACGTCATAGTAGCTTACCTATAGCTCTATGTCAGTCAGTCACCTTTGAGTTATATATATAATAAAAAAAGAAATAGATATTAAACAAATTATTCAAATTAGATACGATACTGTAAACAACTGAGGTATATAATTAGGTAATTCAGAATTATTTAGCAACGCGATAAATGAAAGTGCGATGAGTCGTCAGGAAATCAAACGCGATGGGTGGGATCAAAGAAATCAAATTAGGGCCGGGCGTTGGTGACGAGCGGCGGCGGGCGCGGGCGCGGGCGCGGAGGCGGCGTGACGCTGCACGCGCCGCCTGTCCAATTAATTACTGGCCGGTGTGACTGCGGCGGCCGCGACCACGCGTCCGAGCGGATTAATCACACCGATCTTCTGTCCGCGTCCCTTATCAATATAAATCTCGTTACCACGACCGACCAATTTGGCCTCCGCGGAAATTGGAAAAACTACTAGTGCCGGATATTTCAATAGCTAATCGAGGGCGGCGAGGTCGACGCTGGAAACTGCTCTGTCATCCACGAGGACGGCGCGGGAAGGGGCTGGGTCACACGCCGCTGAGCCGATTACTTGTGCTTACATTTCACATAATTTCATTACAACTGTGCGTTTACATCTTTATTTTAATGAAGGATATATCGCACACTTATTATTATACTGGCTTAACTCAAAAATTACAAATTTTGGAGAGAGAAGAGCACTTTATAATATCATTAATATTATTTTGCCCCAAAAATTAGTGCTGGTTGGTAGTTTCGACTTGTAAATGTAAACTTACAAGGATTATTTAAAAGAGCAACACACAAGTTTCTTGCTCATACTTCTTGTGATGAGACAGCTTTCCGAACGAGCAGTAGATAAAAAAAATTGTTATGACTATTCAAAAGTGCTTAAATTAAGTTTATTTGAATAAATTATTTTCTATTCTATAACTGTGGCATTAAAGTCTCATTTAAAAATTTTAAATTCCTGAATTACACCAGTATTGTACTAAACATGCGATATATTTTCCTTTTTTAAATATATTTAATAAACAAATATATTTTAAAATTTACTTTATAAATATATTTGTTTATTTATTTAATGCATATTACAGAAATATAAAGTACATGCATACAGAGTGTGGTTAATTTTCGCAATTTTTTGTTTCGCCCTGAATTGGTACAGAACCCAATATTATATTTGAAATGTCAAAATGTCCTATACTGTAAATAATAAATATGCATTACAAAACAGTGTCTTATCCAAAGTACATCATTATAATACTAATATCTGTATTAAAATATATAATATAATAATAATAATCTCACAACAATTCACACAGCGCCATCTAGTCCCAAGTTAAGCTAGCTAAAGCTTGTGTTATGGGTACTAGATAATTGATACAAATACATAGATAATTATTTTTCGTAAATACATAAATATTATACATAGAATATACCAACAATCATACTCATGAATAGAGATGTTTGTGCCGTGCGAGGAATCAAATCCGCGACCATCGGACGTTTAGCGGTGTGCTAGATCACCGAGGTCGTCAATATGTGGTAATGGATACGGAAAAATAGGATGTTACACACTCAGGTATTGCTATACTTACTACATCATCCCTACACTATATTATTGTAATTAATTTGTTTTTAAAGATTTTTTTTCATTTTCATTTTCATTACGAAATGAAATGAAATGAACTGAAATTTATTGTTTAAATGTGCTTTTACTGTGATGGTTTAACATAATATTAGCATATATTAGTTCAACACATTAGTCATTTCTGACATACAATAGACATGTGGCATCTAACAGTTGTATATACATACATAAAATAATTAAAATTACATGTCCTTAATATATTCCCAAAATATTAGTCAATACAGACAGTCAAAATTGATGAAATTATTACATTAATAAATCTCAGGACAATTCACACAGCGCCATCTAGACCCAAGTTAAGCTAGCTAGAGCTTGTGTTACGGGTACTAGATAACTGATACATATATATAAATATTTTTTTTGTAAATACATACATAGTATACATAGAAAACACCCAAACCGATACAAACAATCATACTCATGGATACAAATGTTTGTGCCGTGCGAGGAATCGAACCCGCGACCATCGGTCGTAAAGCGGTGTGCTTGACCGCTAGACCACCGAGGTCGTCATTGACATTGACATTGAATTATATTATATTATTAAATATTTATGTGGACAAGGACATATATAATCTACACATACATATAGAAAGAAAGAAAGAAACATATGAGGCGAGTCTCTACATTACCTTCCCTTTTTTTCTAATAGATATTCATTAGTACCGTAGAAGCACTTGTTTATAAACCACTTATACAGCTCTTTTTTTAAATTTATGTTATTTAATTGTTTATCTGGCAAGTTGTTAAATATTTTAATTGCCATAGGACAGCAGTTTGAGCTGGACAATGATATCTTTAATAAGGGATAAGTCAAGTTGCTTACTAAGACAACTCCACTTTCCACAAAATAACGTCACTGAAACGTCATTGGCGGTTGACTGTACAACATTTGATGTAGGCAAATCTATATGTTAATAATATTATAAACGCGAAAGTTTGTAAGTATGTGTGTTTGTTACTCATTCACGCAAAAACTACTAAACAGATTTTGATGGAACTTTACAGTAATATAATAATAACTTATGCATGAGAATAACACATTGTCTATATTTTATATAAAAAATTAACGTGAGTGAAACCGCGGGCACAGCTAGTTTATAATAATAGAAATAGAAATAATCTTTATTCAAATAAACTTAATATAAGCACTTTTTTTATTTCTTCCGCTCATTCGGAATGCAGACTCATCACAAGAAGAATGAGCAAGAAATTTGTGTGTTGCTTTTTAAAATAAAAATTGTTTTAATTAGATTTACATTAACAAGTATAAGGCATGCGACACTCAATATAAAAACCGCTACACACTTAATCTCTGTTTAATCAGATAACATTGTCAGCGCTATGAATTTTAAGTTAGATATTTTCTACAAAATCATTATTATCATTTATAAATTCTTCAATTTTATAATAAGCTTTATTACAATTAATTCTTATGTCATATTATATTGTTTTTGTTGCAGGTGAAGCGACTAGCGCGCCCAGTTTATCAGTATCATCGCCCGGGCGGACCGCGCCCGCGCCGCTCACCACACCGGTATGTCCCTAAATTATTTTAATTTATTGCAACCACCTGATGGCAAGTGATAACCATCGCTTATCCGACCTGCATCTCGGAGTCACTTTATTAGATCTTTTTTATACCCCGTAGGTGGCGATTGGACCCATTTGATGGACACCAGGGGTGTCACGTGCGCATTGCCGACCCTTAAGAAATCTTAATATATCTTGTAAATGCTCGTGATACCCTCATACGTTGCTATTCCGCAAGGACTAGGATTCTATGTCTGCATATCATGTAATTCCACTGTCATAGCTTAGAAAGAGACCTGTTTGAAATAAGTGATACCGAGGTACATACCTGACTGTTCAAGACCTACCTCTGAATTGTAACATAATTCAAAATTCAAATTCAAAATATCTTTATTCATGTAGATTTATTATAGACGCTTATGATATGTCAAATCTACCGTCAGTTCGGAATGATTTCAAGATGAGAACTGACAAGAAACTCTGATAGTATTCTTTTCAAATAAATATTCAATTTAGGAGAATAATTATGACCTATGCTATTGCAAAAGCAAATAGTATAATCAGCAAAATAGTAATCGTAATTTACCTTTCCAAAGTAAATATTTTTCCAAATAATATGAGTATTATAACATTCATTTTAAAATGATAATGTGATTATAAAAGTATATAATTGAATATGTAAAATTGTTGTCCTTATTTACTATACGAGTGTAATGCAGTGTGCGGTCCGATGCGTTGCGGTGCGGTGCGTTGCGGTGCGATGCGGTGCGATGCGGTGCGATGCGGTGCGATGCGGTGCGATGCGGGCCGTGCGCCGCTCAATAAACAAAACGGCAATCCATTTGCGGCCCGATCAGCCATTACACGCGACACACGGCCATCAATCCGATCGCATTCTCATCTCCTAAAAGCCTCGTCTAGTAGCAGCACCCGACCTGCGCCGGCCCCGCCGCCCCTACTCAAATCCTATTTATTTATATTAACATTAGTTGTACGCGCCGTGTGCTTGTACAATTTACAAAAATTCTTCCGTGACATTTTTTTTAAACGGTTTTCAAAAGTAATATACAGCCGCTGTAAAGATCTTTTTTTATTTTAGTAAAGCTGATATTTAGCAACCCTGATATTTGTAAGGAAATTTTTAAATTAGGAAAGCTAATTTTTAATTTAGTTAAATATATTGTTGACTAAATATCAGCTTTACTAAATTAAACTTATTTTACGTCTAACTTATTAACAAACAAACCAACAATCTTGTGTGTTTGTCGGCAAAAATATTCCAATTTCCGTAATTTTGTTATGTGTTAAAAATATATGTGTACATATATCGGATTCGGTTGCAATTCTATTATTTAATAATAATATTAAATAACCCTGAATAAATTATACAACGCCATCTAGTCCCACGGTAAGCAGAGCTCGAGTTATGGTTGCTAGACAAAAGATATAAATACTTACTACATATATATATACTTTTTTTTTTTTATAAATATTGTTTTTTTGTTAATATATACATATATAATATACACATAAAACTCCCAGGCCAATACAAACAATCATACTCATGAATACAAATGTTTGCACCGTGTGATCAAATGTTGGCCACCCTCAAATACGAGTATGTAAATTAATATATAAATTATTTACATGTCAATCGATTCAAGTGATTTCTTTGCATAAAACATTACTTATATTATCATAATGCAAGATATGATAGTGCTCATCGGTAGTGAGGTCTCGAGGGCCACCCGGTGAGTGGCGTCGCGTGACAATAAATAGTTACCGTTCCTCGTTAACTGAATGACGTCTTTATTTATTTATTTATTTACGTTACACTAAGTTTTACAGTCTCCCAATATGCTCACTTAGGAAGATTGTATACAAATACCCATATTTATAAACACTAATTACTAATACATATGTACATACTAATTACATAAGGAAAAAAAAAGAAAAATAAGTATCGTTTAGAAAAAGTCAATGGATCTTTTATGGGAATAGGTATAAAATTTTACAATTAGATACCAAAGGATATATTGGAATTACCCTTAAATAAATTCAAAACGTCTGTTAAATCATATTTACTGAGCAAGGCCTTTTACTCACTAAACGATTACTTGAATGACGAGCGTGCATGGCAATAGTTTTCATGTTCGGGATTTTCATTTAATGTTAGACATAGACACCTATATAAATACCTATGCATTGTAAATAAACTGGATTTAAAAAAAAAGTAATTCAATTGAGTTTCTTGCCAGTTCTTCTCAATTGGATCTATATACCGAACTGGACGGTAGGGAAAAAATTTTTGTTTTTGAATTTGAACTTATCTTGATTTTACATACTATATAAATAATCTACTGCCATCCTACGAAACTCCAGCAAATTACAAGTAAATATGTCTAGATCTGGAAAGCGACTAACTACACCATTGAGTAGACATTGAGTCTACTCAATGGTGGTCAGAGAAATAGGAGCCTGTTTGTCCAGCTCTGTTCTTCTCCATAGAACAATAAGTAAGTTTCGTCTTCTTGCTTGTACATAATTATTTGTCGCTCTTATGGATACTGATGTTAATTTATTAAATACTAGCTGTTCTCGCGACCTTCGTCCGCGTGGAATTTAACATTATTTTTCGAAAATAAAAGTAGCCTAAGTTACTCCTTATTACATCAGCTACCTGCCAAAGAAAGGCCCGTCTAAATCGGTCCAGCCATTTCAGAGATTACCCGGAACAAACAGACCGACAGACAGACAGACAAAAATTGAAATAAATGTTATTTTGGTGTATGTACCGTATTTATATTCATATGCATGTAGTATGAGGCATGCAACAATAATAATAATAATCTCAGGACAATTCACACAGCGCCATCTAGACCCAAGTTAAGCTAACTAAAGCTTGTGTTATGGGTATTAGATAACTGATACATATACATAGATATTTTTTTTTGTAAATACATACATATTATACATAGAAAACACCCAGACCGATACAAACATACATACTTATGAATACAAATGTTTGTGCCGTGCGAGGAATTGAACCTGCGATCATCGGTCGTAAAGCGGTGTACTAGACCGTTAGACCACCGAGGTCGTCCAAGTAAAAGACGGTTATTTCAATATTACAAACATATTATTATTTATATGTATAGATTCGTCTCAATATTGCTGTTATCCGTCGATAAAGAATATACGTCCCGCCGTATATTACATTTTTGGATCTAAAAAGACATGCCAGGTCATAAAATCCGCCTCGTGTCGCATAAAGTCGACGAGGCTCCGCGACGGACTGCGAGTTAGCGCGATTTTATCTACTCAAAGTTGTCAGCCATTTATTTTATGTGGACGGGTGGGTATAGTAGGAGGTGGTCACTCTTTTCGGCTATCTTTACGACGTCTGATCTCTATAACTGGCTGCTTTATGTGCCGTCACAGATACAGGATCATATTTCTTTATGTTCGTCGGTCCCGCGGGAGGCCGTGGGCACTTATCGCGAGGCACTTCGCACATGCGTCGACGCGTTTATCGCTGACCCACGCCTGATGAGCCCCCAGAGTCTGTTGGTTTTTTACTTTCAACTCTATATCTACCGCAGCCAAATGATATATATATATTAAAATGGCAGCTTCTGTGTGCCGAGTATGTCCACACTTTTACGCAAATTCCGCAGTAATCTATACATGTAAATAAAATTGGAGTGTCTGTTTGTAATATTGAAATAACCGTTTATTACTACATGCATACGGTAAATACACCAAAATAACATTTTTTTAAATTTTTGTCTGTTTGTCTGTTTGTTCCGTCTATTCTCTGAAATGTCTGGACCGATTTTGACGGAACTTTTTTTGACAGGTAGCTGATTTAATAAGGTGTAACTTGGACTACTTTATTTTAGAAAATAAAGTTAATTTCACATTCAGATCAGATTATCTCGCCGCAAAGCCAATGGGATACAATGAACGAGTACAGTAAGTGGATAACGCTATACAATATTCTATTTGTCGTCTGTACGCATTAAGATACTACGGCTGCCGCCGTGGAGCGAGGCCGGGTCGGTTATGCATATTTATAGTGACGTCAGACGGGTTAATCCACTGGGAATAAAAAAAAATCTACTCTTTGTTTCCCTTTCTTGAAGACGTTGGTAATTCTTAAATTAGTTAAATCAGAATCGAATCAAAGTTAAACAGTACATTTACTTTTTCGATGGTATCTGTTTATATGGCGTTATCAAATGTCTATCTTACACATTCATATCTATACATATAAATAAAATTGGAGTGTCCGTTTGTAATATTGAAATAATCGTTTTTTTACTACATGCATATGAATGTAAATACGGTACATAAACCAAAATAACAATTTTTACGTATGTTTATTTTTGTCTGTCTGTCTATTTGTTCCGGCTAATCTTTGAAATGGCTGGACCGATTTTGACGGGACTTTTTTGGCAGTTAGCTGTTGTAATAAGGAGTAATTAGGCTACTTTTATTTAAAAAAAATAAAGTTAAATCCCACGCGGGATTCATATGCATGTAGTAAAAAACGGTTATTTTAATATTACAAACAGACACTCCAATTTTATTTATATGTATAGATTTGCAGCGAAATTATTTATTACGGGGTAATAATACGATGTTGTCGGTTGAGATGATGTATATTACAGATGATAACAGACTGACAATATGTACGTAAACATATTGATATTATATACTAAATGACAATAGGAAAATGTAAGGTGAGATGACACAGGTTAGACACAGCAGTGCTTAGTACACAATATTGGATTTGTCTTACTAGACATTATTGCAATTATTATTTCAATGTATCTAGTAACTGTATCCCATATTATTATAAATAAATGTATAATACATGTAGCTAATTATTTGCAACGGTTTTGATTGACAATTCCGGTACGCACTCAAACTGTGCGGGTTGTAGCCGCACTGCTGTGGCCCCCTGGCGGCACCTCGAACGAGTGGCTACATCGCGCGGCGGGGCCCATCTAAAGTATCTACCGCGGCAAACCGCTTCCTGTGAAGATTAAAATATTTCAACATCTTCTGACATCCAACTTTATCGTATTTGCATGGAAACTTCTCGACGGAATTACTTCGAGGACTCCTCATCAAATAGAAACACGAAAGTTCATTAAACTGAGTTACGGACCGATAAAGTAACGAATGAGTTGAATTTTAATGGCGACTCGTCAGCAAATCTAAACTCGTAACCGTTAATCGAGTTGATGTTCAAACGAAACATCATCGGGATGTTGAGGGGTTGGGTGTAATTTGCGAAATGGCCCTTGTACTTTATTGGTCAGTTACTTGACTTTAAGTACGGGACACGGACAAATTTTGAAAAAAATCACAAGATTTATCATCTTGTCGATTGCAGAAAGCGTTCAATTTATAACAAAATTATTAAGTGACATATACATATATAAAGAATAATTAATAGTCATAAATATTGAGAAATAGAATAGAATAGAAAATCATTTCTTCAAATAAACTTACATTAAAGCACTTCTGAATAGTCATCACATTTTTTTTTTAATCTACTTGTCTCATCACAAGAAGAACGAGCAAGAAATTTGCGTGTTGCTCTTTTAAATAATTTTATTCTTACTTTACATTTTTAAGTTGAAGTGTGTGAATACAAACTACCAATTAGCACTAATTGAATTAAATACTCAAATATAAAAAATATTGAATATACAACCAACTGGTTAAATAATTAATAAGAGGAAATCAGTCATATTGATTAGAGCAGACCAGTCCCTACAAGCAGCACTCGTACATGAGCCAGCCATCACTGCGCTCAACCATATTTTAGGGAGCCCAATGACCCGCCCCACAACGCCGCCACAAGTCTGGACATTTTAGTGAGCATGACTAAAAACGTGTTAAAATATTCAATGCCATTGATTTTTCACACCGCAGAATATTCATGAAGTCGGATTGACTTACATGTCGAATAATTTCAGAATATCCAATGGCCAAGCTGTGCTGCAAATAAGACATCCAATTGATTTGTGTGTCCAATTTTCGAGAGAACACGAGCTGGTAAAAACCAATTTTTCACGCGTGGCGATTTTATTGTTCGCTAGATCACGCATCGAGACGCTAAAATGCATCTGCTCCCCGAATATTTCTTTAGTTCCTTTACATTTTCTCTATAATAACGTACTCGTTCAACTATAAAATTTCACAAAGATATCGCATTCACATATAAGTGACATTATTTTATAAACTCACGTAGTCACGGGGTATGCGAGGGGAGGATAGGCTTACAGTGACATGGTGACAGCGACACGCACCGTACCAATTTGTTTTTCACGCATGACAGTGGGTAGAAACCACCGGCGAGAAAAAGGTAATCTGATGTCACACGTCACCACATTAAACCTTTACTGAAACGGTCTACTACTAAATTAAGAGTTTACGTTCAAGTTGATACTGTTCAATTTGCAACATTTCTTAGCTAATGAATAAGCCGAACAAAGATTCTTGAACATGCCTTTTAGTTGAACGCAATAAATCCACTTTTCCTTCCACTTTTCCTAGCTGATTATCCGGCTATATAAGTGTAGCGGAGATAGCATTGTGCGAGGGCACGCCTCCGCCGGCTAACAAGGGGACGTTTTAATTAAGGCCCGCGATAGTTTTATCAGCGAGTTCTTTTGTCGCATCACCTTTACGTCGCGGCTCGTCGTTCGCACGCCTTTAGTGCGTGTCGCCGTTTTGAATTAGTTTTAATTTAGCGTTATCAGAGCGCGACAATGGCTCGGCTAATTCGGCGGAGATGCGTCCGGCGATAGTCGTGATTACAGTGCGGCTAATGTAATGTAACGCGCCGCAGCGCCGCTGCGCCCTAATTATGCCTCGTTGATTGGATGGACGCCCGCGCCGTTCTCCGCGTGTCTCACTACCGACCCCATTAAAATAATGCAGCCCCGAGCTTTGTCCGTGTTGCTCGATTAACTCATTAATTTGTTCTCACGTGGAACCGTATGTAGGTCGAGTGTAGCTTAGTGTTTGCGAGATGAGAGTTTCGATATATGTTTAACAATAGATCTATTAAAACCATACTCCGTGTTTCCTTTAGAGGTTCCATTTAGGGAATGCAATCCCGACTCGAGATTGCTAATTCGGGATCCCGCGGGATTGATATTTCTAATCCCGGAATTTTCGGGTACCCGTCTAAATTTTCAAAAAATGTTGAATTCAGATGACTGAAAAAGCTAATAACTGCTTGCTTGTGATAGTGAGGTTAACTAAAATAACATATTACTCGAAAGAAAATAAAAATCTTTATCCTTTAATCTTACCAACTAAATAATAATCAGGTTGTAAGGAAATTAACGTAGGTAAATTAGGTAATCAAAACAATAAGCTTATTTCAAGGGAATTAGGAAATAGAGTGATTTTGAAAATGACTCCTTAAAAAACAAAGGGTATTAATAGTTTCATCTCCTAAACGGCATCTAATGTCCGTTGCAATGTACCCCGCTGCTGAGAATGCCCTATCCGACTCAACGCTGGTTGGCAACAGCGTGGCGAAGCAATTATATGCAAACTTCAAAAATCGCCCCCTTGTTCCTCCACACTCAAACAAATCCATTTCTTTTTTAATGGTAGATTCTAATTTGTCTAAGCTCGTGGACGTGGATATACGTGCAAAAGGACTTTTAGAAGCTCGCAGAGTTTCTTCTAATTCCTCTTGAAGCGATTTATTAGTTTGTGCAGCACGTAAATTTAAATCTTCTGCAATCATTGAAAGAGGCAAGTCATCTTCGATTAGTACTGCCGTATTAATATCTGCTTGGTTTGGTTCTTTACGATATAATCGTTTATTTCGTAGTTTATTTCTTTTTCACTGCCGCCCAATCCCGTCAATCTCGAACGGGATCTCGTCATATGATGCGTCGGGATTGATCCCGAAAAATTACACGAGATCTCGCGAGATCGGGATCCCGCGGGATCGGGATTGCATTCCCTAGTTCCATTACTTCAAAATTCTTACCGAGCTTTGATCCTGCTATTTCGTTTGTCTTATAAATGAAACGTAGCGTCGTTTCATAGTCACTACACCACAACATAACTCCTAATATCTAAACCATTAGGTCTTATCATATTGGGCTTGGGCTCCCTAAATATGGTGGAGCGCAGTGATGGCTGGCTCCTCCGTCATACTCGTTTACGAGTGCTTGTAGGAACTGATGTGCTCTTATCACTACGACTGATTTAATCTTGTGTATTTATATTTGACCCTAATAAATTAGTGCTGGTTAGTAATTTGTATTCACACGTTTCGACTTGAAAAATGTAAACTCACAAGGATTATTTAAAGGAGCAACACACAAGTTTCTTGCTCGTTCTTCTTGTGATGAGACTGCTTCTGAATGAGCGGTAGATTAAAAAAAAAGGTAATAATTTTCAAAAGTGCTTAAATTAAGTTTATTTGAATAAATTATTTTCTATTCTATTCTAATGTTTTAGATATTAGACTCAGACCACCATTCTACTAACTAGTGCATAGTATTGATACTCGTATTGTCCGCAGGCATGCAACGGCCCCGGCGCGTCGTGGACGTGGGGTGCGGGCAGTGCGGGGCTCGCGGGGGTCACGTCGGGGGGCGCGGGGGTGTCGGCGGGGGGCGCGGCGCTGGGCCGCAGTGCGTCCGCCACGCTGCGCGCCCCCGCCGCCGCCGACCTCAACGTGGACGCCATCAAGGAGAAGCTCCTCGACCATCGGATCCCCGAGTCCTGCGTGTAGATTCCTCCCTAGTCCTAAGGGCCGTCACGCTTGTCGCCCGTCGCCGCCCGAACCCGCAACGTGCAGCCTTGAAACGAGTATCACAGTTTTATTTTTTTAAGGAATCCTGAAAACTTAGACGAGGATGCGATTCGAGGCACGCTCGAGATAGAATGAGACGGCAGTATTCTGCATCTCGTCTTCTCATACAAGCGATGAGGATCATCCACGTTATCGATAAGATTCTGTACTGTCTAATTAACGAAGGAACTTTAAAGTACCGAGGAGTTTATTGATTCCACTGATGTATCTGAATCAATATTAATTATATGATATATATAATACGAGACTCCATCAGCGATCCGGTCTAAGGAAAAGCAGAAACTGTAGGCAGATCACGTGAGGGTCAGGCCGTGCGCGCGGCGCCATTACTTCATTGTACATTTCTGATGAAATTGTCCTATGTAAATGTTGTAGTTAGGTAGAAAGTTTCCAGTGCGTCGTCCGTCACACGGAGCCGCACTACTCCAATGATTATTTCACATGCGCAGGGAATATTCCATTCCGTTATCAGATATCAGAACAATGCTACATATCGTCCAGCCTACACGTGCGCACCCCAACCTTTTTTTAATTAGTGTAATTGCAGCGACCTACTACAATATCAAAACTACACGACAATAATTTGTGAAGTAACAATACAATACAATGTTAATCAGCCGACGTCGGATATTCTTTGTGCATGCCACTAAAATTAAACTTCATCTGTAATTTTGTTTTAAACAAATTCTGTGATGTACATAGTAGCGTGTAAGCGTATGAGTCTTTGCCACTTTTTTACATGTCTACGAAGCTCTAGTTAACAATTTACAAGTTAATGATTAAATCAATAGTTCAATGGATTTATCGTTATCTGTATAAATCGAATAAATTTATGTAAATAATGTTTGTACTTGATTTTTAAGATTTAAAATCGGCTTAAGGAAAGACGTGTGAATGGTGCGTGATGGAATTAGAAGTCGAAGAATTTTGTTTCAAGTCAATGGTAATTGAAAAAAATGATGCTGGAAAGTTATTATTCTATTCTGAAAACAAACAGTTAATCACAGATAGCTGTACCCGCGACTTCGTGTACGTGGAATATAACTTTATTTTTCTAAAATAAAAGTAGCCTACGTTACTCCTTATTACATCAGCCAATAAGTCCCATCAAAGTCAGTCCAGCCATTTCAGAGATTAGCCGAAACATACAGACAGACAAAAATTGTAAGGAATGTTATTTTGGTGTAAATACCTCATTTATATTCATATGCATGTAGTAAAAAACGGTTATTTCAATATTACAAACAGACACTACAATTTTATTTATATAGATAGTAATGACTTAACAATGAGCGAAGTATAATGCAGGTAGAGTTACATCATTTGTCCTTTCGAATGCATAGTTTAATGTAATTTTACATTTGTTGATCACCAACTATAATAATATTCCTATAGCTTCACTTACCAGTGACAGTAATAAAAGTTGGAGATACTATTGTAAATTTTATTCCAATTTTGCATTCATATTTATTTATATATATATAAATGTGACAGTAAAATAATAGTATGGAAATATCGTCAATTTTTAAAGAACCTTGAAACTTATATATTTAAACTTAAAGTATAAACTTATATGTATATATTTTTAGGCTCTTGAATAAATATGAGAGTTAAAGTTTGTAAAATTGAAATAACCGTTTTTACTACATGCATAGGAATATAAATGAGGTACATACACCATACACAATATTTACTATTTTTGTCTGTCTGTCTGTCTGTTTGTTCCGGCTAATATCTGATATGACTGGCCCGATTTTGACGGGACTTTTTTGGCAGATAGCGGATGTAATAAAGAGTAACTTAAGCTACTTTTATTGTAGAACAATTCTCAAATAAATTGGTTCATAGCTTATTGTCCCTAGTAATGAATATAAGACTAAAATACGGGACGTCCCGGGAAATACGCGACGTGTGGCAACGCTACATGTAACTGTTGAACTGGGTCGAGTTGCTTGCTATCTAAGTGATACACCCTACACATATATAGTTTTATTTAATTGCTACCTGCTCGCGTGTTACTGCACTTTGTTTAGTTAACACGCTGTTCATCTACCATTAACTGTCTCAGTCTAAACCAGTGATTGCCAAAGTGGTCTATATCAACCCCCAGGGGTCTATTACAAACTGCAACGGGTCTACGACAGCGGTTATCTTGTTGTTTTTAACACTTTACTACAGTTAGAAATTTACAAAATGGCAAGGGGTCTAGGAGACAAGAAAGTTTGGGAACCTCTGGTCTAAACTAACCTCGACTTCTAATTACAAGATGGATGCTAGAGGGCGGCCAGTATCCTTGTAAATATCAGTGTATTTATTTTATAAGTGTATGTCTACTTAATTTTGAATATTTTTCAATCTTGTATACTAATGTAATAGACTTCGATGTGGTAGCCAGGGTTTTTATTTATTACTATCAGCACAGATAATATAATAATTAATTTTATATTTTTCTAAAATAAAAGTAGCCTAAGTTATTCCTTATTACATCAGCTACATGTCAAAAAAAGTCCCGGAAAAATCGGTCCAGCCATTTCAGAGATTAGCCAGAACAAACAGACAAAAATTGTAAAAAATGTTATTTTGGTGTATGTACCGTATTTACATTCATATGCGTAAAAAACGGTTATTTCAATATTACAAACAGACACTCCAAATTTATTGATATGTATAGATTGGAGACACGCGCACTACACGTCCGTTCCGTTCGCGAGCTGCTCGTGTAATGCCCTTTTGGCGAGTCACTGCTCATAAGCCGCCATCTTGTGCCCCACTACTCTTGAAATAGTTTCTCATTTGAAATTTATACACAAAATTATAATTTTACGGGCCCGATGTAAATTGAGTTGTACAGTTTGAAACTGTTTGTAGGATTGTATACAATCACAATTTATCAACTTCAATCAGTTTCAAATAACAATGGATTGTAACTGCCGTACATAATCAAAACTCCAGGTAGGAGCGGGGGGGCGGCCATGTCCACCCCTCCCCACCCCTCCCCACCTACCCCCTAGCTGAGTATCTTATTAGCAAGTGAGCGTTAGCTCAAAGTTCTCTCTAAATTAACAAAATTTGTCTTTTTTTTATAATATATTTGACTAGCTTTACCCGCGACTTCATCCGCGTGGAATTTAACGTTATTTTTCTAAAATGAAAGTACCCAAAGTTACTTATTACATCAGCAACCTGATAATAGAAGTCCCGTCAAAATCGGTCCAGCCATTTCTGAGATTAGCCGAAACATACAGACAGACAAAAATTGTAAAAAATGTTATTTTAGTGTATGTACCGTATTTATATTCACATGCATGTAGTAATAAATGTTCATTTCAATATTACAAACAGACAATTCAATTTTATTTATATGTATAGATATAAAAATGTTCGTTGTCTGTGTGTCTGAACAAAACCCTAGCTACCGTCGGGTGTATTGAGCTTTGTTTTAAACGGCCGCTCAATGATCGTTGTATGTAAGTAATCGGAACGCATTGCAGAGGATTTCGTCTATTGTCACATATCCCTGAAGAATAATATTGGTTTTATATTAATAAAGGTATTGAAAAAAAACAAAGAGTGACGCTCTGCTAAGTATACCGGCAACATTCTATAATCTACTACAAATATCTGAGAAGAAGGAGAAGAAATTATTTTCTTCTTTTCTTCTTCTTCTCTTCTTCTTACAAATATCTGTCGGTATAATAAACATTTATTTATAGGTAGTAAAGACTATACACTATTTATATATATGTACTAGCTGTTCCCGCGACTTCGTCCGTGATTATTAACTTTATTTTTCTAAAATAAAAGTATCCTAAGTTACTCCTTATTACATCAGCTACCTATCAATAAAAGTCCCGTCGATATCGGTCCAGCCATTTCAGAGATTAGCTGGAACAAACAGACAGACAGACAGACAAAAATAGTAAAAAATGTTATTTTGGTGTTTGTACCGTATTTATTTTCATATGCATGTAGTAAAAAATGGTTAATTCAGTATTACAAACAGACACTCCAATTTTATTTATATGTATAGATGTATATATAAATAATATGTTTATGTATTATGGTTGTCGGTATATTTAGTTCATGGCGATTATTGTAAATGAACTCATATCAGATCATATCGTGTAGGAGTACAGTGAGAGCGCAACGGAGCACATCACAACCAGTATGATATCAATCCTTCTCAGTTTGAGTTATGAACAGACTGAAATATTTGTGAACTTGTAGATAAATGAACTAGGTAATTTAATTTGTAAGTAAGACGTGATTTGTTATTATAAAGTTTAAAACAACTCAAAGAGTTCGCCCTACTGTTGACATAATTATTTTGGACGAGAATAAAGGTTGTCTTGGAAGTACATTGATTGTTTTATTACATCTCTCCGGATTACACGTGAAGCAAACCTTCGTTGGGGAACGTCCCCCGCAATAAATACTACTCGTACATACAATACATACTTTGGACATGTTTTTTGCTACTATTGTTGTATTGTTTACTCTTCTGTATATTGTTTTATATTATATATGTTATTTAAATGTAGAAATTAAGGGACAGTATTAGGTACATTGATTTTACAAGAAAAAGTGTAATCCATCACATTTGAAATAGTAATATTGCTAAGTAACGGTTGATATGTAACGCGCAACTGATTGGAACGAGAATAAATTATATTTACTGCTGTATATGTGTAATCAACTGAATATCTCCATCACGGACCGACCGACCGACGGACCGACGGACCCTCACAAGAACAGCTGTCGTCGCACAATTCAAGAATAGGTTTGTATTCGCACAACATTCAAATTAAAAATATAAAGTAACAAGGATTATTTAAAAGAGCAACACACAAGTTCCTTGCTCGTTCTTCTTGTGATGAGACAGCTTTCCCAATGGGTGGTAGAATAAAAAAATAAGTATGACTATTCATTAAGAAATGCTTAAATTTAAGTTTTCTTGAATTATGACATTTTTTCTATTCTATTTGTCGTCAATTCTCGACCTCATGGTAAATTCAATGCAACACATGCCTTGCCCACATCTCTGGCTATGTTTGAATTCGATGTGGCAGTACAGGAAGCGAACCTATCGTCATCTCTAAGATTAGTGTATTGAATGGTTTAATTAAAAATTAAATATTTTGATATTTGTAATAAAAAAGAAGTGGCAGAAAATGTGACGTCCTATCAACAGCACATGATGGAATTCTGTCCAAATAATAGAATGCGAGTTGTTGAAATAAATTGTGTAAAGTCTGAGGGAACTAATATTAAAATGGGTGTTCCTCAGGGCTCTATTCTAGGTCCTTTCTTGTTTTTAGTTTACTTAAATGATCTTTCTTATATGGTAGAAAAGATAGCTGACATAGTTCTGTTTGCTGATGATACTTCATTAGTATTCAAAGTCAATCGACATATTGATGATATGGACGAAGTAAAGAGTGCTCTCTCTTATGTTTTAAAATGGTTTACAGCTAATAACACGCTACTAAATGCAAATGCTTATTTAGTTATGGATTGGTCAAACTTAAAAGACTTGAATCTACGAGTACTAGTTTTAGCTACAAAAATAAAGTTTAAGTCATATATATTACTAGCTCTATATATTACTAGTCATATATATTACGAAACTGGGGTGGGTACCCCAGTTTCGTACGGGTGTACATGTATTATATATATAAACCTTCCTCTTGAATAACTCTATCTGTTCATTATTTATATTATTAACCGGGTCCTAAATACCTACGGTAAATACCTTTATTTGCCATAAAATTAGGTCGTTTTAAGACTATAGATATAGAATAATATAATATAGAATGTATATTAAACACGAAAGTTTAAAAACAACCACTCTATCTGTTAAAAGAACCGCTTCAAAATCCATGGCGTAGTTTTAAAGATTAAGCATACATAGGGACGGACAGACAGCGACAGCGACTTTGTTTTAT